AGCACAGCGCGGTGTGGCGAGCGCTGGGGGCATGGCCAGTGCGGCTGGCTCAGGGGGAAGGGCTCCCGGAGTTAGGGGCCTTGGGAGGAGGGAAGGGCTTGTTGGGGACACATCTCTCTTTGGGGGACAGGGCAGGGCCGGAGGAGGCATAGACAAGCCAGCAAAAGTGAAGCAAAGAATTGGAGAGTCAGTGGAAGGATGGGTGAGGTCGGCGAGGAGAGCAGCCAGCAGCGGCCGAGCGCGCACGGTGGGGCGCAGGCGAGCTGGGTGCACGGCCAGACCCCACTGGGCTCAGCAGCCAACGAGCAATGGGAGTGGGGAGGGAAGCGACTTCAGCCGATGTCTGGGAAAATGTTCCAATGGGAAAGGCTTTTCAAAAGGAAGCAGGAGTGGGGGTGACAGGGCGTTCTGCTCTGGGCGGGAGGCAGGTTCCATCCCAAGGGTTGGGGAATTTCATGAACACTTGAAGACCAACCCAAGACCGTTATATAAATAAATGCCACCTCAGGCTGCCCAAACATGTAAAACGTACAAGGTCACGCCGGGGTCGGCCCTCAGCCTCCTGGGGGCATCTTGTCTAAAGGTAAACCACCGGAATCCAGAAGCCTCTGACCTCATGTCCCGCTTCTTGCTGTCCCCCTTCCACCCAGGCCAGAGCCATGGCCCACCCACCCCTCCGACCACCCCAAAGACAGAGCTGCAGTCGGGCAAAGCAGACCCCAAGCGGGATGGGCGCTCCATGGCGGAGGGCGGGAAGCCTCACATCGACTTCGGCAATGTGGACATCGGCGAGATCAGCCACGAGGTAATATCCAACATGGAGACCTTTGATGTGGCTGAGTTGGACCAGTACCTGCCGCCCAATGGGCACCCGGGCCACGTGGGCAGCTACTCGGCTGCTGGCTATGGGCTGGGCAGCGCCCTGGCTGTGGCCAGTGGACACTCTGCCTGGATCTCCAAGCCGCCAGGCGTGGCTCTGCCCACAGTCTCGCCACCTGGCGTGGATGCCAAAGCCCAGGTGAAGACGGAGACCGCGGGGCCCCAGGGGCCCCCGCACTACAGCGACCAGCCGTCCACCTCGCAGATCGCCTACACCTCCCTCAGCCTGCCCCACTATGGCTCCGCCTTCCCCTCCATCTCACGCCCCCAGTTCGACTACTCTGACCATCAGCCCTCGGGACCCTATTACGGCCATTCGGGCCAGGCCTCCGGCCTCTACTCGGCCTTCTCCTACATGGGGCCCTCACAGCGGCCCCTCTACACGGCCATCTCTGACCCCAGCCCCTCAGGGCCCCAGTCCCACAGCCCCACACACTGGGAGCAGAAAAAAACCGGCCTTAAAGGGGGCTCTGTCGCCACACCCCTGCCCAGCCCCTCTGGGTAGTGCGCCCCTTCCCCCAGCCCTTGCACCCTGTTCCTTGCCCATCTCAGGCCCGGTGGTGGCTGGGGAGGAGGCTGCAGGGGCTGCAGAGGCTGACGGCTGAGGGAAGGCTTTCTGTCTAGCTCATTGCCTTCGATGACCCCACCCCGTCCTATCCAGGCTCCGGCCCAGGCAAAGCCCTGCACGACTGCTGGGCAGAGGAGAAGGAGGTTGATGATTGCCCCTAGACTGAATGCTGAGGGGCTGCACCTTCCCCCCAGGATGACCCTCGATCCCAGGACCTGAGAAGGACCCACTCGCCCTCCCCTGGGAAGGGGGAAGCATCCTGGGTCGGGTGGGAATCGGAGGCCTTGCCACTCCTGTGCTCGTTTCCTCTCGTGGAGAATGAGGGGTCTGACATAACCCATGCCACCTGTGCCACGTGCCTAAGATCAAGGCCAACCAGAGACCTGCGTCAGTGCCTAGAGCAGGCTACATCTGCCCCTTGGGGACTAAGGACAGCTTTGAACAGCCTCAGAGGGGGTGAGGGAGGTGAGGGATCAGAGGGCGGTCTCCTCATCCTCCTGAACACAGGAAGGAATTGGCACAGAGGCCCCCAGATCCAGTTCTGCGCCAATAACCTCATTCTTTGTCTAATCAAGAAAGAGGGCCCCCCGGTCCTCCTCCACCACAACCTCCCAGACCTTGAGGCGCATCCCCAGAGGTGAGGAAGGGATTCGGAGACAATTCACAGAGCCTTCCTCTCGGCTCCCCAACTCCCTCTCCCCTCGCCAGGCTCTGTGGCCCCTGCTCTGTCAGCCCCAACTCCTTGGGCTTCCCAGAGAGCTACCGCTTCTCAGGCTCAAACCCTCTGCTCCAGGAGGAGACGCAGGGCCCAGCACCCAGGTTGCTGGCCGCAGGCTGAAGACACTAAACTCCTAATGTGTACATTCCGCCCTGGCCTTTTGCCCTTTGCCTCCCAGTGGTATCTGAATAAAGTATGTAGCGCTCTCTGCCCTATTTTCCTGTTCTGCAGCCCCCACGATCCACATGTAACTCATTATTGCCCCTTATTTATCTCAGTAGCTCCCTCTCTCCTCTCTCCTCCCCTAGGTTCTCCAGCCCCTATTAACTCTGCATTAAGCATTCCACATAATAAAATTAAAGGTTCCAGTTACCTGCTTGGTGGGCCTGACCTGGCCTGTCTCTTGGTCTCTTATCCCTGTACCTGTGCTTCCTCAAACACTCTGGAAGTAGCTAGGGGTGGAATGCAAAGGATCAATAGCCCAAAGTTCCCCTCTCTCCCCCAAGAAGGTGGGGGCAGTACAGTGGGTTAGGACAGCTGGCATGGCAGCAAGGTGGGTCTGTGCTCAGGAGCTGAGGCCTCAGATGGGGGGCCTGCCCCCAACCCCGCTGTGCCCACCCTGCAGGTGGGCCGCTGGTTGGCTCAAGCTGGAACTCAGCCGGGGCACCTTCCAAGCAGTCCCTCTGCTTGCCCAGCAGAGGGGAGGGGGCTCACAAAGAATTCAAGGGACAGGTATTTGAAAGAGACGGCTCGGGCCTGACTTCTCGCTGTCTATAGCCAGCAGGCCTGGTCCTTTAGGGTGTGTGGCTGGGCCCTCTCTCTGCACCCCTCCACTTGCCACCTCCCCCAACACACACAGACACAGACACACATGCACACACACACACCTGGTCCACTCCAGGACCTACCCCATCTTCACAGCAGCCTCCGGTGTCTAAGTGTAAACCCAGGATGGCAGACTGTAACCTAATCATCCAGGGCTTACTCACTAAGAGCTCTTTCCTCAGCAGAATGCCAAGCTGTGCTCAGGGGCCAGGAGCCACTCCACCTCTAGGACAGGGGAACCCTCCTCACCACTGTGCTCCACTGAGGGATGGCTCCAACACATGGAAGTCTTCCTTATACCCAACTGATTATGATACAGTAATGGCTACCATGTAGTGAGTGCTCCCTGGCCAAGAGCTTTATGTCATCCAGGCCTACGAGGGAGTGGGCCCTATCATCATCCCCATTTCCCAGATGGGGAAACTGAAGCTTTGAGAGGTTCATGCTAAAGAGTGCTGGTGCCAGAATGCGAAAGCAGCTCTGACTCCATCTTTACACACATAACCATTATCTCTTCCACCTGTCCACTGTCTGCAGGCCCTACTTCGACTTTAAATCTGAAGTGATGCTTCTTTCACTGCTCCAGACCAGCGCGCCCAGCTCCCTTATCTGCCCCTTACCTCCTAGTGAGGATCTGGGGTGGGGTGGGGAGTGCCAAGATCTAGCCCAGTCTTCCAGGGTGACCAAACTCCCATCTGGACCTGTGTCATGTAAGCTCCTCAGTAAACCTCACCAAAACTGCTGGCTCCCATGAAGCTTAGTAGTAGCTGCAAACCCCTGATCCTGTGGATGGCATCTGCTGCCAAGTCAGATCACCCCAACTGTATATAAGCTGTTTCCTGGTGCTTTGTTTTGTTGTAGATAAATGCAGGATTTTATACTGATCTTTAACAGATTTCATCTTATTGGATTTGACCATTTCCCACCTTTATTAAACCATTTGGAATCTTGAGTACAACTTATGAGCTCTCCTGAGTTTTATGTGTCTGCAAACTTGAATATCCTCATTCAAGTCCCTACTAATAAAGAGGATGAAATGAAGAGGAGCAGGCCCTGTGCACACCACGAAATCCCTCTCGATCATCAGTTATC